TCCAGCAAGAAAACAGCTAATCAAAAGACGTTGCTTCTCCGCTGACAATAATGTACACAAAAATCTCTAAATATCTGTTAATTTTCTCACTAAACGATCTGTTGCCTGGCCCTTGTCTTCTGTCGGTACACTACTACTTGCCAAGGGAAGTGAGAGTCCTACAACAGATCTTCTGCGTGTGTGTGTGTGTGTATGTGGCCGTAGTGATTATCTAGTGACCTACCACCTGCCTGTTAACCTAATTAACTAATATCAATAATTGATAAAAAACCATCCTGTCAGGTAAGGTTTTCTCCAACAAGTGAATAACCTAGAAGACATTTAATTAAGATAATGACTGGAAAGTGAGTTTATAACCAAACAGACACACATATACACACACAAACAAGGGTATTTCTTTTTTCAATCTAAGATTTTATTACTTAACACTAAACTAATAAGATCACAGCATGAGATCAAACGTCAGAGTTAGTTATATGCATACAGCTCCTATACGTGCATATACATATATTGGAGAATGGATGCAGAGAAGGTGAAACTTAGTTGAAACCTACATTATATTAGCACTGACATACATAAAAACCAGTTGAACGATGACTTCCGTTATAACATCGGAAATTGTTGAGCTGGCTTATGTTTAAAAGTTGTCTGACAATTCGTACAAAAAATTTATATACACTTTACACATGAAAAACATAAAATCTTACTCTTTTGATTTCTCTACTTGACCTATTTATCAGTATATATACATATATACACGATAATTTGAATTTGATTATTTTCGAGGTGAATAATAATAATAACAATTATTATTATTATTATTATTATTATTATCTGTTACTTTCCCTGCAAATATTGTGAATACTTTCTTAATTTTATCATTTAGTGTTCAAGTCATTTCATTTTCATTTTGAATTCCTGATCAAATAAATGCATATACATCTCATCACGTAATCCCTCTCTTCCTAGACATCAAAATGAAATGAAAGGAAATGTTGGCATCCAACAACCAGCTGTAATTCCATGCAGCTGCTAATAGGCGACACGCCCATTGTGTGTATGTGAGCGAGAGACAGGGAGGGAGGGCTAACGATACTTACTAACTGGCTGCCCAAACCTCCGTAGGTGGATCAGCACGGTTCGAATTCATGACCCATTTGACTGAAAGTCGAGAGCCTAGAGTAATAATCTAGCCACAGCCCCAAAGACATATGTACACAAACACACGCACAGACACACACTTTCACATTCTCAATAATTTGCTGCCTAGCTGAATATATTTCAAATCACTATAGGTTACGCAATGCGACAAAACTTCTTCAGGATAAGGTGAATTGACTTCAATTAGTTTTATAGGGTTTTCGTCAACTGTGTACCACACCACATGAATAATAAAAATGCACAAGTAATCAGCATGACATAATTTTAGACAGACTACATACGTGATGGTAGAATGTAGACAACGCGTTCATTCAAAATTTGAACCAGTTATTTGTTTAAATTATATCATGTTGATTATTTTGGATCATACTACTACTTAAGTTGTACGCAGATTACAAAGATACGGGAATGGAAATGGATGAAAGAAATGGCTTTATATATTTCTCTTCATAGAACAACTCTCACTGACTGATAATTCCTCAGGTTTACCTACGGAGACCTTGTAACGACTTTGCCTTCCACTAGATAGCCAAGCTGGGTTGTCTTCTCAGCATCAATGGAGAGGCGAAGCCACTGCAACAGCAATCCGACGCCTTCACTAAACTACTCAATTGGTAGTAGTGACGGGCAGTGTGTACAAAGGGCAGGAACATAATCAAGCTTTTAGGCCAGGTTCCTGGACTCCCTGGCACCATCATTGTACCGTACTTGTGGCCCAGGACATCTAAGGGCATAACAGACCTGTTATTACTCAATTTCTGTCGCTCAAAAGAAATGGAAAGTGACGCCGTACCCGCTAGATCACGAGCACACTACTCCATAAAGAAGCAACAGAAGCCGCACTCTGGAACAAGCGCAGAGGACCAGTCTACTATGTAGTAGATTAAAGTCACGTTCGTTATCGGAATTGACTCAGCAAATCGCTCTACTAACTAAGAAATAAGATTAAGCTAATGGTGGATTCAATAGTTGATTCTTTTATTAGAGTCACAAAACACTACCAGAATACAGGATTTTCATCATGAGTTGACATTAGTTAGAGAACCATTGGAAAACCTGGGAGTACTGGACAGCTGCTGTTTCATCCTAGTTTGGGACTCTTCATCAGTACGCACCCACTGGGGTTCGAACCCAGGACCCTCTGGTTACAAGGCGAGCTCGTATACCATTAAGCCACTGGGACCCAATCCAATGGCCCATGAATTCTAACTTCTGCCAATTCACGACATAGCACGACCCCTAGCCAATGTCTTCGGTGAGTATTTATCCTCACACTCGACCTGCTGCACCCTACTGGTCACGAATACCTACCAGAATACAACAGTTCCGATTTCAGCTTCAACTTCACTTATCACACTCACTAATTAACATCAAAATCACTTCACCAAATCACAACTATCTCAGATATTCCAGTCAACAAAGAAGAGACGAATAATTATGTTCAAACATGATTCATTCGAATGAATATTTACCAAAATTGTTAGCTAGAAATTAATCCTATCACGTACACAAATAATGAGTTTAATTAACTATTATTAGACACAATTAATGCTAAAAAATCAAACGAATGGTTTAATCAACAGGTATGTAAGCGTATACACAATACAATACACTATATATATAGTCACTATATGACGAATAATGTGTTGTATTGACGCTGTTTAGTGATTACGCATACGTATGTATCTATCTATGTATGTATTGACATCATTGGGACAGTGTGCTAACTGTTAAACAGGATGAAAATGTAATCACGAGACCAAATACTCTTTTTTTTCCTACTACTTCACAACAAATAAAAAAACCGATGATTCCACGAACTGATTGACTAACTAACTAACTTATTTTATTCAAAAAAAAAAAAAAAAAACAATTACGAAAACAAGATCCACACTTCTTCTTTTCATCAAATGAACAATTAATCAGGTATGATGAGTAAGATGTATTACAGTGGACTCCGAAAAAGAACTGAATACCAGAAGCTCATTCTATTGTTTCGAGTACTATGTTGATTGAAGTGAAATTTCCCCCTAAAGATGACTCTATGAACCACTGTCGGTTAGAGTTTTGTAGGGTATGAAAGTGTTAAAAATCAGCTGCCCAGAACATACACTTTAAGTAATACGGCATTATTATTATTATTGTTCCTTTGGGTTCCTAGTGGAACATAGGGCTTCAACTACACGTCTCCACTTGCTTCTGTCTTCTGCTGTACTTTTCACCTGCATCCATGTTAGTTCATACTGTTTCAATTCCTTTTCACACGATCTCCTCCATGTCACCCTTGGACGTCCCACTCGCCGCTTCCCTTTCGGGTTCCACTCGAGCACTGGCCTGACGCGCGATGTCACCCGGCGGCTTCCTCAGCGAGTGTCCAATCCATCACCACTTTCTCCTGCATATTTGTTGGGCGATTGGTTCTTGTTTTGTTTGTTCCCATAGTTTCTTGTTGGTGATTCTTTCCTGCGGCCATCTGATCTTCAGTATAGAACGAAGACAGTTGTTGATAAAGGTCTGCAACAGGCTGTTGGAAATATTCTTTGTGACCCGCCAAGTTTCTGATCCGTATAGAAGAACTGACTCACTTGACGTTTGCATTGAAAATCCGAATACAAATATTGTTTCGGCAGTTCATTGATACTATCCAGCTGTGTGCAGGTTGAAATTGTTGAAGTGAGATTCAAATCCGGTAGCACGCTTAGACCAATGAACTGCAGCTACACCATGACATTAGAACAGCATAAAGATAACAATAACAAATTTAATGCTATCATGGCATACAAATCATTCACACGACCTTCAAATGACAAAAAATTAACACCGGATCAGCGACTGAATCCCACGAAAGCAATCAGCATGCTGCCGTCAGCTAATTATCGTTTTTTTTTTCAAATTTTATCACAAGCCGACCTTTTGTCCTAGTTTAAATCATCATTATTGTCCCTTTATGGCAAGACCAGTCCAATAAACCACAACTGTGAAGTGAATTGGTGGATGGTGACTAGCAGTGGGATTCAGGATGCGCATTTCATCCTATTTGGGACTCGTCCCCTGGATGTACTTGCACAAGGAGCCAACATGTCAACCTGAGGCCTAGCACTTCGGTGCAATCAATCAACGGGAAATTCCAAGTTAAATTAAATAATTACTGATACCCGGTGGCTCTCATGATCTAAGTGGTCTAGTGGATAACGCTTTAGCGTTTGAAACAATGAGTACTGGGTTCGAGCCTCATCGCGTCCACCAATTTACTTCAAGTTAAGTAGTCAGAAATCATCTAAGCATCTGCACAAGGAGCAGATATGTCAACCTGAGACCTATTTATTTGTTTTATTTATTTAAACGCAGAAAAACTTGGTACAATATGGCACCAAGAAAGATGCGCCACACAATATTGTGTGAGGACTGAGATACTGCTCGGGCGCCCAGACCGAAGCAGGTGGTTTTCCTAAGGGACCACCCCCGAGCCTTTGACTTGGAGTCTAATCCGCAAGGCAGCGGAGCAGCGTCAGGAGCTGCGTTCCCATGGTTGCCGGTGACCCATATGGGTTCATATGCCATTTGATCCGATTGAATTCTGGAGCCCATGTACCCCATGGTAACTGCTTTTAGTCTAACCGCTATCCAAACAACCTTCCTGACATGGTAGGACCTGCAGGGACATGAGTCCCAGCCAGTTTAGCTTGTTGGGTCACTGCGGCATTCAACCTGAGGCCTAACTCTTCGGTGAAATCAATCAACGGGAAAGTCCAAATTGAATCAAACCATAACTATCTTAGATTGTCGAGCTAATAACAACAAAGTTGATAAATAAAGGGATAAATCATAAAATAACCTACCCAAAATTAATATTTGCGGCATTCTCGTGATGACCAGGTGCACAGATATGATAAACTGTGAAGTGTTCAGTGATTACACGCATCTCAGGATTGTTGAATAAACTAAGAAATGATGTATCTATAATAAAGTGTAAACAAAATGAACACAAAAGTTAGAAACAAAAAAACACGAGTGAAGTGAAAATTTATGCTACTAATTTCCATTTTTAAAGTTACATTAAGTTTGTGTAAATTTCATTAACTATTACTGATGAGATGGTCGTCTTTGACCGCAGGTGTTTGTATCCGGGCCTCCTGTGTTAGGTGGTGACTAATATTGAGGTTAGGAGTATAGGGTAAGGTAAGGAGAGAAAGTCAATCGATTGGGTTGTTAAGTTGCACCGAGTGAAATGGCTAGGACACGTGTTATGCATGCTAGGCCGCGTAAGGTTAGCCAACATAGGATGCGGTCACAAAAGAGTTAGCAGTGGTCAAACCAAACTATGGCATCAATTCATCAAGTCTTTAACTGTCGGTTTGAGTCACGCAGGGTGGTGCAGATTGGTTTGACTGGGGTCCTCGAGACACTACTGTCTGCTCTATGAAGTGTTGGTAACTTGAACTGGTGCAAATTTGTGCAGAGTTCTACGTTGGAAAACCAGGCAGCCATTCATACAAACCAGGAATGCAAATTAACATTATGCTTAGTAATACCCGCTTAAAGCTTTGACTCTTTCTTGAGAAAGATTTCTCAGTGATTTAATAGTCAGACAGATAGCTGCAAACTATCAGATATATATATATATACACGATTGGTATATGGAGTGAGCCCTGACAATACGATTAAAGTCTAGTCATCTCGTAAAGGTACCTTAGAAGCTGCTGAATTTCAGTTTTCAGTTCGATACTGTGCAGACTCTGTGGACAGTAGTGCAGGTCCCCATTATTCATCACATCGGGATCTGAATATGCCTGATCCTAGTCGATAATTTTCTGTCTGTCTGGATTCAACATAGAACTTGGCACCGAAGTGCACTAGTTCGAGTTACCACGTTCCAAATAGCACACAAAGGTAGACAAGAAAATGAGTGAAGAGAATCAATAGAGTTTTGACAAGTATAAGAGTGAAACAGAGCGAGTAATGGTAGAAAGGAATATGAAAGATTACAGAGACTGAATACATCTGCGTAAGCCATTAACAACGATTTTGAGCCATGTCACCTATTGTCTCTAGCCATTGATTCTTCGAGTCCCGAGGGAGGGCCCCAACCCGGAAGTCTGAATCTCCCTACCTGACTCAGTTTAACTGTCAAGGATTTCATGGATTGATGCCATGTTTTTGTTTGACCACCACTTACTCTTTTCCAACCTGCACCTATATCAGCTAGTAATGGCCATCGGGGGAGGCGATGGTTAGGCATGCGCAGCACGTGATCTAGCCATCTCAATCTATGTAACTTCATAGCCTTGTCGATTGATTTTCCCTCTTTGCCCAACAATCTACGCCTAACGTCAACATTACTTACCGTATTATACCACCTAACGCGAGAAAGAGATCGTAAACATCTGTGGTCAAAAACAGTCAACCTTTTCATGTCTTCAACTCGTATTGGCCTTGTTTCAGAGCCATAGAGAAGGACGGAGCGAACTGCTGAGCAGTACACACGTCCCTTGGTTGATAGTCGAATGTCACGCCTGCGCCAGAGACCGTGTAAGTTAGCGAAAGCAGCCCGAGGTTTTTGGGATCCGTGCTGTGATTTCGTCACCAATCAATCCGTTGGTGCTGATACAACTTCCCAAATAGGTGAAGTGGTCAACATTTTTATGTGTTATCATGTAAACAATTCATGCATTATAACTGATATAAACAAATATCACAAAAGTCATCATCATCACATGAGTAAAGTAAATTTTAATGAATGACACTAATTCAAATTACACACCTATGATCAAAACCACATCAACAAGATCCAGGACGTGCTGTCAGTTGAATTCTAACATTTTATACGAAAAATAAAATTCTAAAATATGTACCATAATGTGTAGCACTGATGAATGTGTCCCATAACCTACCTAAGTGACAGCAGCATTCTACATGTGATCATCTATAAATGTCAACCACAAAACTATCTCTATACAGAGGTGATCTTGTCATCAACATTCAAAAATATGCATTATGCTAAGATACCAGTTTTACCGGCAGCTTGAAATATTTTTTTATCCTTTGTGTTCCAAGTGGAACACAAACCTCTAAGTTTTGCAAAGTTTCAGTAGAGAAGAGGTATTTTTTTTATAGGGTAAGGTTGATTGTGTCAAACTCAACTTTCCTACTTTTAAAATTAGTTGTGTTCTCTGAGGAGCTGGTTCATTTAATTGCAAAGCTTTCATCGTCCACCATCTAGGCAACATATTCAGAGCAGGTTTTAGTAGAAAATGAACTTATTCAAACTCTTCATGAGTGATGACATAATTGTATCTCCAGGCAGCCATTGTTGTGACTGGTTGCTTGTTAATTTGCATCTCTATTGAACATTCTTATATTCACTTGTAATTTGAATTTTCTTGTCATGTGATTTATCAAAATTGCCAGGGAACTCCTAGAGACCTGGTACTCATCCCTTAATCTTATCACATCTTCATTAAAAAAAGTGTCTCATTTACTTCCCTTACAATCTAACATTACACTTAGTCGGTTCATTTGGTTTTACTAGCCTTTATTGACTACTTCCACCTGAACTTTTGTTTGTTTAATCGTGCTGGTTTTTTCATTATTCGTGTTATCACAGATTGCCTCACTTTTCCATCCTTATTATTGATAAAACCATTATTGCATGGAGGATTTCATCATGAGCTGACATCAGTTAGAGAACCATTGGAAAACCTGGGAGTACTGGACAGATGTTTCGTCCTAGTTTGGGATTCTTCAGCAGCACACATTCACTGAGGTTCGAACACAGGACCTTCTCCTTACAAGGCGAGCTCTTAGACCATTGAGCCACTGAGACCCGATCCAATGGTCCTTGAATTCTAACTTGTGCCAGTTCACGACACAGCGCGACCATTTCACAATGTCTTCTTCGATGAGTTACTGCCTCATCTTCAACCTTCTGTACCCTACTGGTCAGGGCTTCCCACTAGAACCCCAGGTTAAATGCCTGAATAGGGCCAGTCGCTAGTGAGCATCAGATTAATTTTAAAGTATTGGTTTTGTAGGGATTTTGTTTGATTGCATGAAGGATTTCATCATGAACTGATATCAGTAACCAGAAGGTCCTGGGTTCGAACCCCAGTGGTGTGTACTGATGAAGAGTCCCAAACTAGGACGAAACATCTGTCCAGGTTTTCCAGTGGTTCTCTAACTGATGTCAGCTCATGATGAAATCCTCCGTACAATGAAACAAATCCCTACAAAACCAATACTTGAAAACCATTATTATTATTATCATTACTACTATTATGAGTAATTGCACAATTTATTTTCACCATCTTATTATCCTATAGACAAAACACCATGATTGGTTTATATTTGAATTTTATTTGTAAACTTATATATATTAGAGTAAGGCTGATGAGATCTAATTGAAAACAATATTGTTCGCTTAAATGTGTGCTTTTAAATTAACAATTAATAAACACAGTACTAGAGACCAAATTTATTAGCTAATAAAAAGTAAATCACATGATAAGAAAATTCGAATTCCAAGTGAATATAAAAATGATCAATAGAGAGACGTAAATTAACAAGCAACCAGTCACGATAATGGTTGCCAGGAGATACAATTATACCATCACTCATGGAGAATTCAAATAACTTCATTTTGTAATAAAAACCTGCTCTGAAGATGTTGCCTAGATGGTGGACGATGAAAGCTTTGCAATTAAATCAGCCAGCTCCTCAGAGAACGAACACACCTGATTCAATATCATCCACCTGAGCTACAAATCTTCTCGATTATTTCCCACTTTTCCAAGCTTGTAACTGGTCAGTAAAACTAGGCGGAGTGCATTGTTCAGGAATAGTACCCAGAACTTCAGCGAGGGTGGTGGTCATTGAAGCTCTGAACCACCGGCACACGCACAGATACACATGGACATATTCAAATAAAGATTTCACTAGAAGTCCTTGAAGCGCCAATGAGAATAAAGAGGAATGTGACCGATGACGTGAAGATGATGATAATGACAATGAAAATGGAAATCACACTACTACTACTCATTGGCATAAACTAGTAGTATAACTGCATAGGAAACAACTTTTTAATGGGTACTTAATAAGACATTTTAATGAAATATAGAATTTAGGAAGAATAAAATGCTGAGAAAAAGATCATACAACACATGCTGTATGTATAATTTTTATCACTTCATCAAGAATATGTAATAAAATTTATACATGATTGAATGTGATAAAGTCAAAAATATAATAATCTATCGGATTAATGACAGATTACTACACCACTACTACTACTACTGCTAATGGGTATGTAGAAGTTTAAAAACGACGGAAACAAATAAACAAAGTGTATCAACGTGTAAGTGAACTTTAAAACCTCGATTTTATCCAGAATATATATTTATTTATTCTATTCTACTTTATACAGGTTGAATTTTAGGACATAATAATAATAATAATATGATAAATATAAAATCTAATCATAGTGTATTAATAAACACTAAGTGAAATCCTTTTATAATGTGCATGAAGTTACAAAAAGATTGTAGACTCTCCTACAGGGTCATGTAGAATATGCAGTGAAATAGAACTGAGCGTAAAGGTTAAAATATATATATTATTATTACTATTATTTTTGGAGTTAGACCACGGATTGATACCAGTTAGAGAACCATTGAAAGCCAAGGAGTACTGGACACCTGTTTCATCCTAGTTTGGGACTCATCGGCGGTACGCACCTACTGGGTTTCGAGAACCCAGGACCTTCCAGTTACCAGGCAAGCTGGCTAGTATGCCATTCAGCCACTGGGACCTGATTCAATGACCCATGAATTCTAACCTCTACTAATTCATGAATTTTAGCGCGATCAGTGGTTATCTAACTGATATCGATCCGCGGTTTAACTCGAAAAACAAATCAAATCTTGACTACAATTATTATTATTTGCTTTATTTTCTTCCTTTACATTCCAAGTGGAACATAGGGCTTCAAGCTTCAACCTTGAAGTCCCAGTAGCAGTGATGCCATTCCTTTTTTTAAGGGTTGTGGTTGCTATCCTCACTCTCAACCCTCCCTCTTTACCGACCTTACTGCCAATTGAGCGAGGTTTAAGAATGCATCGGCAGGGAATCGAATCCCGGACCACGTTGGTGGTTGGCGAGCATTCTACCAGTTAACCACCGGTTCACAAAAGATTAGAAACAGCACTCTCTTCACAAAAAGTAAGGCAACCGATGAACATTTTAAAGATTCACAAGGATAATGTTACTCATACTGAATGCCTACCTAAGGATATGGTACACACAAAGGTCAAGATAGAACTGAGACATCGAACAAATCTATTAATATATAAACTACTGAATTAAGTTGCACTTAGCAGTGTATCTTTTGAAGTGATTTCATACACTAATCGACATGTTTTAAAATGAACTAGAACTATGTAGATTTATTCTGTATTCATGTCTCTCCAGTTATATTCCTGCTGTTATTCACCTGGTTGCCTTATTTACTTTTGAGGAGTGTTACTTCCACTGCTGTTTTAAAATGGAATAAAAGCAGTAACTGTAGAGTTTGATGATTTACGCTTCTATCACTTTCATTATGCCGTTACTCATAATTCATTTGTTGGTAGTATTCACGAAGTCTAGGAGAAAAAAAAACACATTCTAAAAGACATGGTGGTGATCAACTACAGGTCTATTTATTCAACATGTGAGGAAGCATTATATGAAACTGTTTTCCAACAGCAACCAGGTGCTTGTTTATACACATTGCAAAATGTAAGAATGACGTAAAAATCAGGAAGCTGTTGGTTTTTAAGGCGTAACACACAATCTAATCATTATAGGGAAGAGGCACAACTAGACTTACTAAAAAATATCTTCATTACCTAACAATATATTGAACCTAAATATTATTATATACACCATGAATTTGTCACATTGAAATAGTAGAAAGTACTGAGACGAAAATCTCTGACTGATAGGATCCTGCATTAAGTAGTATATATCATCATCTCTCACGCAAGTTGTGATTAATTATGCAACCAATCATTCCTCATGCACGTTGTGACCAATTATGAGATCAACCATTCCTTAAGCATGTTGGGATTAATTATGCGATCAATCATTTCTCACAGCTGTGAGGCCGACTTTATTGTTGTGATTACAATATACAATCATAGGCCAGCCTCTGTCTTTTGATATTTGCACGGCTCAGTGAATCGGAAAGCCCAACGGGCGAATAGGTATATATCAGGCAGGCGCAGACAGAACAAAGTGACTACGGTTCTCATTAAATTCAGTATCAGTTATAACAAATTGGCGACGGGTCATTTCAGTTCACTGAAGTTATAACACTGACCTTGATTCAGTTGTGTTTTCTGAGGTGGTGGATTTAATTGCGAAGCTTTCATTGTTCTTACAGACAACACCTTCAGCGCAATTTTCAGTATGAAATGAAATTGCTTGAACTCCCTATGGATGAGTGTGGTCTAGAAGGACATCGGAAGCTTCATAATTAAATCGACCAGCTCAGGGAACACAAGTAAATCAGAGTCATCTACCTCAGACACGAATCTTCTCTGTTATTTCAAAATCTGTGGCTTTATTACATATTCTATTACTCAGTGTGTATTATGTCTGCCAGACAATTTCTATTCAGTATGTTACTACATAATTGAAATTGCGAGTATAAATGTTGAGTGTTTATCATTGCACTAGTGGAATATCTAGAAGAATTGCAAGACCAGGAATTCCCAAGAGAGAGTGTACTTTGTTCGTAAACAACTATGAGAACACAGCTCCGAATATTACTCTGCTGCCTGGTACACTGATATTTATGTCAGAAGATGGTAACAAACCTTTTGTGCGAATCCAGGGAATTATTTCTCCCTCTCACAAATTATAACGAAATAATGAAACGAAATCTTTAGTTTAAGTCATCGCTTTTTGAAAAAGTCAGTTAACATAAGGCGTGAATCTTACATCGATGGTTCAGTGGTAGAGTACTCGCCAACCAAGTAAGTGGTCGGGATTCAACGCACTCATAAACCTAGCTCAGTCTGACAGTAAGCCCTGAGAAGAGATAGGGTGGGTATGAGACTATCAACCCACCCAGTAAAACGACAGTGCCATCGCTACTGAAGCTTCAGAGCTTGGATCCTTATGTTCCACTCAGAAGGCAAGGAATGAAAAGAGCACCATGAATCTCATGCTATTAATTGAATAAGATTGTTTGTTTTTTCTTGAGACATTTATTAACATCTTAAAAGGCTTTCAGTCACCTGTTAGTGTTCCAAAATATTAACGGTATTACTTAGGGTTGCCCAATCTCTAACTTTACCAAAAACGATATTCCGTCGAACGTGAGTGACGATGATTTGGAACTGCTAGCCGAGCTCACTGGCTTGCTTATGTATTATAAACGTCACTTCAAGGGTTGCGATATTGTTCATCTACACATCCTTTCGTTAATAAAGACCAGTTTTAATGACAGTCATCCTCTCCTATTGGTATTTTCAGACTTAAATGTAAGCGTTCTTATACACAGTGCATCCTAACGATGATGATTATCTGACATATTAGATGTGAAAAGAAATATAACGATTCCAACAACACGACATGTGTCAGTTCTGCATGCCAAAAGTTCATAGAAGCCCACAAAATAAAGGAAACAGAATCTTAACGATTGTTGCTTTATTTCCTCTGACCATAAATGAATAATTTCAACCTAATGACTCATTAAATACAATGTTCGATAAGAAAAATAGTGCCTCATCATGAGTAGCGCCTCAGTATTGGTCACCCTTAATAATAGATAGAGCTTAACAGTGTACTTTCCTTCATCAGCAAACAAAATACAAAGGATAGACCGCATAACATATACATCATGAATAAGATATTCACACATGAGACTATTTTAATAATTTATTATGGTCAAAATGTACACTTGTTATGTGATACTTTAAAACTAGTGAGATATCTTAAACAACGGATGGCAGTAAAAATCAAATTTGCAATTTACACATTTTGAGGAGGTGAAGTTTCACCAGTTTCACGCCCTTTCATATCATATCTACACTAGATATGGTGTAAGTTGGCAGATAAATGTCACACGAGCTTTCTGTATCCCTGCTGAGATTTCGTCAGCGGTCAACCCACTGGGACTGGCTGATGCAACTCCCGATATAAGTGAAGTGGTCAACACGCTCTACCAACCACTTCACTCCCTATCTTTAAGTCAGGAGTCAATGGAGTTTAGTCTTGTAGCATCATCTTACACTTGACGGGGGCGAATCGCATACCAAACATTCGAAGATTACTGCTCAAAATGTTCGGAAGACTGTGCATTTTGTCAGCGTCCTCCCCTAGAAAGGCTACATCATCTGCATAGTCTAAGTCAACGAGAATATTCCCTGATAGTAACAAGTCGATCCCTGAGTCGCTGAAGTCAGTTAGGGTTAAGTCCATTAGTATGTCTATGATGAAATTAAACAGAAATGGGGACAGTAGGCATCCCTGACGGACACCACTGGTTGTCATCACTTCGTATGACAACTCTTCGTAGGCTCTCATCTGGCTGACTGCATGAATTCGAGTGGAGTGCCTTGATCAGTCCGATGTATTTTCTCGGCATTCCCTTCACAAACAAATATCGCCATAGTACCTCTCACGACACTAATTCTATCACATTTCCATATTATGTTCTCTGTGCAGTACAGTATACTGGAAAATATGGCTGAAACACATATATATGTTTCTACACACCTTCACTACAAATAACTAACATGAGAAACTAAAGATTAAGGGTAGATATTAAAGTGACACTAGTGATAGACGTAAAAACTCTAGTATGAAGAGTGGCAATATTACAACAATAAAATTTGAAAACTTACGATTAGTTCCAATATCATGGTAAGTGATAATTGCAGTTTTGTTTTTGTTAGGCTGAACATATACCCGTTGGTAAAGACCAGAAGAAGTCAGTATTTCATGTTCCTATTTGTTAATTAAAGAAAACACGATTTTAACAGATCAAATAAAGAGTAATCAATTGATTTTGTAATAAAAACAATTCTAGCAAAGATACTATAAGATGTTTTTAATTCAGTTCTAAAAAATGCTAGCAATCATATTTGTCATGAACAGACAGACCTTGACTGAAAGTACAAGTAATCGGTGTATAGAAGAGCACGTTCATAAATCTGTATCCTATGATCAAAAAAATGTGATGATATAGACCCAGTTTGTCTGTACGAAGCCTTTCCGACTACTATACTTACTCCTTATAAACAGAACCGCATTAAATTAACGCAATGGTAAGTAGAGGTGTGGCTTATTGGTTTAAACACTCAATTTTTAGCCCGTGCGTACAGGGCTCCAATCTAACTCCACTTACCTCACCCTGGACAACTGGGTAGCATCATCATTCTTCATGATATAAGTGGTTTATAGCTTCTTACATGAGAAAATATGTCCTGCGTAGCTGATTTCTAGATAATGAAGAAGCATTTTTGTATTTCTAATAAGAAGCAGCACTCTTGTTCCTCAACCTGAAGTACTAAATAAGTGAAGAGGTTTTATCTGATAATATTCCTAAAGCCGATTTGAAAAATTATTTCTACTTGAATTTTATTAAATGATTATTTATAAAAAAATTTTAAATGACTGATCAGCATCTACTTTAGAAAAATAGGACAGCATTTAGTAAAAGCTGGCGTCCCGTAGGGATATTAACAGGCCTTCAAAATTTGAAGTCCGAATGACTTCCATAATTTTTCACTCAGCTGACTGGTAAATCAATGCAACCCCCATAAGTTCTACTTGATACATTTCACAAGACAATACAAAAGAAGAAAATGGACAGAAGGGTACTGCACTGAATAAACACGTGGGCGGAAAATTAAATGAGTGCTACGCGTTCATTCTGTTTAATTTCTTATCTCCCGAATTGTTTATAAATTAATATATTTAATCTTGATATTACTTTGTGTGATGCCACTTAAAGTGATAAACTGAAGAAAGGTGTGTCGATAAGTGAGAAAGAGAAAGATTAAAGCACGCAAAAGCACCTTACAAAAAACCAAGTACAACCAAAGGTATATTTACAGTCAGTTGAATTTCCTCCCCATATGATTGTCTCGAATACTGTGCATTAAAATCTTTGTCACAGTGAACACTCAATTTGAGTCTTGGCGTAGATGTAGTAATTTAGGCCAAAAAAAAAAAATGAAATATTCATATATTTAAGCAGCAGCTGATAAAAAGTTGTTACGAGATTGTTTATAGTGCACGACACAGCATTCCTCTTACCTCTAAATTAGCTGAAGTTCGACGAGCACAAAATGAATGTTTTCCACTGTCTCCCTTTTCGTGCGACTGTAGTTCAATACCCTGAAAATTCACTGGAGGGCAATCCATTGTACTATGCTTCCTATAAAAAGAAGTTACATAGGAAGGTTTCACGTCCCCACACAGAATAAATTGTTATGTCTTGCATTAAAATGATTTCGCATAGCATTCAGAAAATTGATGTGAATTATTTATGATGTCAACCTTCACATAATATAGATAACTGAAATTACTGATATCTGTTATTTTCGGAAATGTTTACTCAAATAGGCTTGAAGACAATACTCCTAGAAATACAAATATTTAACCTACTGCACGCCTAGATAACGACCCAGAACCGACTGCCCCCACGCATAATACTACAGTCTACTAAAATAAAGCACTGCATTGTATGATACCTGATGTAAGATCAGTGACGGAGATAAATAAAGTGAAAAGCAGAAAAAATTGGATATAAGAAAGACTGCAGTCGACACCAATAGCGAGATAGATTTTAGATAAACATTTACTAATATGGTCTACTGTAACTTAATGAACCTTAGACAAGAGGCAGGTAGTCTCCCTGTGCTAACCTCAAGAGCCATAAAGGATCTCTTGTCATACTCTTATTTGTATTAATTAAAACTGCATTCCTATTACGACTAACTTTTTAATTATAGAAGCCCTCTTAACCATATTAATTACTGGTAAGTCTATCTGTTGAAACAAATATAGGAAGATTCCTATTTTGAAGCAGAAGCATAAGTCACTGAACAAATAAGGAAAGTTGTGAATTTATGAATTAAGTGTTCTTCTGCACTACTAAACCAAAACCAGAACTGTAATGAAATAAATGTGGAGGACATAAGTCACTTATAATAATATTTCCAACTTATATGCTACTACTATGGTCATGTATGTGGATATAATCAGAAAGTTCCCAATACGAGTGTTTCATGTTCAGACGTTCTCTTCATTCATCAGCTTGCGAGGCTGTAAAATCCTCCACGGAAAAGGGTCTCAACTAATTATTAAGGCCACTAATTTCAAATGTAGGTATAGGAACACTTCGATTATCACCCATACTCTTGAAGAACACTACGCAAAATATTTTTGAGATCTAAAGCACATTTCTGCAGTCACATATAAACACAGGCACAAAATCTAGCAATCCAGTAGTCCTATAATGCTCTAATGACAACCAGGGATAATGAAATATCCTCAATAAGCAATCCTTACCCAAGCTTACAACAATTCTAAACTTATTCTAACCTATGCGTTGATAATGCCTTTTTATGGTAAATGAAAATTTTTTCTACCCACTATGTTCTTAAATAACGCTGGTCGTGCTTAAAAAGAGAGCTGGGTGCTGAATTAATGCGACAAAATCTTAAAAGGCTAGAATTAAGCTGAAAAAATTGCCACTATGTGCTGAATTAGGTCTTTTCGTTCTGAAGTAATGCTAGTCAGTTCTGAATATGTGCTGAGAAGGCTAGAATTAAGCTGAAAAAATTGCCACTATGTGCTGAATTAGGTCTTTTCGTTCTGAAGTAATGCTAGTCAGAGCTTAATATGTCCTGTAATGGCTGGAACAACGCTGATAAGGAAACCCAGTATGTTCTGATCTACTCCTGAAAATGCCTAGAAAAAGAACACGGTGCTGAATTAGTTCTAGTCATGCTGAAAACCAGCACTGAGTTCTAGTCTGTGCCATTAAACAAACCATTTCAGAACAGATTCAGAATTTACTCACTATAGGATGCAAGAATTATTTCAGAATTACTGAGATTTAATTCAGCATTATTGTAAGCTTGGGTAGGGAACTGTCAAGCGAAGATGTTTGCTAAAAACAAATACTTAGAACTGCATGCGGGGCAAAATAATAAAGTACATACCCTGTAGATTATGTTCAAGACGAAAAATAAAATTCTTAGAAAATGAACAAATATTTTATGCAAAAATGACCGTTTAGAGACTTCACAACTGTATGCTGTCTTTATTTCACATTCTTTTAGACTAGCACCTCGTGTGATATTCAGTGTAATGTATAAAAGCAATTTCACAGCAAAACTCGTTAAACAGTAAAATGCTCACAATTGTAGGCGATATTAGAAGAAACCACGTACCGTTGTAAACAATATCCAGCGGTTCCAAATAAGAGAAATCACCTCAAGTTAACTCTGTAATTGACGCATGTAAACAAAAATAGATCACTTCACAAAATCAGATAACCTTAGATATCATATTAGGTTTCATTGTACGTATTAGAGTATCTTAAATTTCAGACAAATATACTTCTATTATTGATTTTGGAAGACACCTTTTTTTCGGCAGTGGGAGTGGCTGTTTTACTCTTTCTGTATGTATACTGAGAGGATAGAAAGTAATCCGACATCGGTCCGGTATCCAGTAGAACTACATTTAGAACATGTAATCCCAATATTTCTATTCAGTATCTACCAAATTGCGTCGGTGGTATAGCGGTTAGGACGCTCACCGACCATGCACATGGTCCGGGGTTCGATCCCCGGCCGACGCACTCCGTTACCTCGCTAAGCCAGAAATAATGCTGTGAAGAGGGAAGGTTTGGCATGAGGCTAGCAACCCCATCCTGTAAAACAAGCACTGTTACAGAAACTTCAAGCCACTAGCTTGTAGCCCTATGTTCCACTGGGGAACGTGAAGGAAAACAAAAGTACCTACCAAATAAGTGAGTATCTGGAAATATCCATTTTCTTTTACAATGAATTTTCATGCATCTGAATGAAGGTCATCCCATAGGAACACAAGCTCACAACAATTTATAAAACAGCTCTTATATAACTGAACATGCATGGAACAAAACCGCAATATTCATCGGAACAATTTATCCTGAAATCTAATATGAACAAAAGGAAAGACAGACTTATAACAGAATCTATCTCCATTAAGCTCACACCGGATACATGTAACAAGGGTGACTCAGTACAACTGTCAACAACCTGGAATATAATTGAGAATAAGCAAAACTGAATGAGCGAAAAATGAACTATATATGAGTACAAATGATAAATGTGTGAAATAAACAACAAAACAATTCCAACAGTTGGTGTGATCGCGGGCAGTAATTTTGTTCAAAACATGACCAAAAACAAGAATTTATCATCGTGTATAAACTACTGAAATATAATTATAACGAATTTGACCTATTCCGCAGTACTCAAATTCTTTAATGACATTTACGGTAGGAGTATTTTTTTGCCAACTTACAGTTTTTCGGTTCCTCATTCTATGAAGCATTATTATTGTATCCTTTAATTCGTAGGGGAACAAAGAGCTTCAGCCGTGTGTAAATCTACTTAAACCGCTCAGAATCTGTCAACCGTGACCAGAAACAGTGAGGGAGTGGTAAAATACGATTCACTGACCTATAAAGTAGATTTGAATATCACTGTTGAAGAACCCAAAGCTTTTATTAACTACCTACATTTCGAGCGTAGCTGGGTGCTACTCGATTACAGTGCTTTTATACAAATAAGCCAGCTACAGCAGAGGTGGTTTACACCTTATGTCGAACATGGAGGTGCTGTTTAAATTAATAACTAATAACTATTGTCGGTCAACACATAACGCAAATCACGATATGATACTCATCGGGCATGTCGTCTTAGTATCGCTTCCTCATAGTTGTATATGTAATTTACCATATTGATGATGCCTGTAAGCTGGCGTCCCTCATGTAAAGAAGATATATTATTAATACTAATATATTATTAATACTAAATCAAAGCGGAGTGGATTTAACTCTTGGGCGAGAGAGTGGCGAAAGAAAATGGGTCATATTGTAGGTTCAGCTTAAACTGTTTTTCAATAGTGGCTCCATCTGCATTCTACTGCGGAGGTCGGCGTAATCAAGACCATATTCTGAGCCAAGAGCTCCTGATGTGAAGCAATGTTGAGCTCTGAATCATTTAAGTTTGTCGTTCTGTCTAAATCCACCAGGAATACATGACAATATCCTTAGATAAGGTAAACGTGCACTTTGTACAGTGACACTCTTGTTTCCCAACAAAAGAAATCGCAAGTGATGCAACCTACAAACCCAAGTGTCTTTGGTCAACTGCAATCAGTTTGTTCAGAAAAGGTTAAATTACTGGATTGCCTGATGTTATAATCCTCCTTGAATAGACAGACATTTCAAGAAACTGTCATTTAGTAGGAAGTAGTTGTGGGACCTATTAATCTCCAAAACGTTTTTACGATTCATACTAAAGCACTCTGAAATCAGGAGCTGGCTAAAAACTTGCTTGTGGGAACCAGGCGTTAGGGACGAACATTCAGGAAACTCTAACAAGATACATGATCACATAACACAGACCGGGCCTAGAATTGTTCAAGATTGTTTTCATAGATGGGTGAACAATCAAATGTCCAGGACATTACGTTTTCGTGCTGAGCTTTGGACTATAATTCGTTGATTTTGCAGGATAGAGTGTAGAATTCCGAACCAAGTTTTATGAATATGACTTGGACACGAGTGACACGGATTAGTTACTTTTATTACCAACAGAGGCTATTGCAGGGCCTCTATGTGATACAGCAAATAACTGAGGAACTCAGGAGGATGGGACGAGCAACTAATTGGGAACCACATCGCCTCTGTGATTTGATCTCTGAATGCCCTTCCGTGCATTTGACTAGGTTTCCCCAAATTCACTTGCCCTTTGTTATGCTTTCGAAGATAAAGGTTTAGAAACAAACATAGTCTGGTGTAATATGACGAGCTGTTGGTAGATAATTTGAATAATTATTTTGGTGGATTATTTAGTTTCTGAAGCACAGGCAGTTGCGTACACAACAACATCTACTAACGAATGAAAACAGAAAGCAGCCCGTACATCTTTAAGAGAATACAGATATAATCCTCGTCCACCGAGATTTGGACAGTCACACTGTAGGGATGAACAGCTCAGGCAATGCCAGATTCTTCAAATCACTCTGCCAGAAAGACACAGCAGAAAGAAAAGGAAAACCTCTTATAAAATAACTGAAGGAAAAATGAAAGAAAACCCACTCGTGAGTTAGATGCATCAACAGATAAGATCATATGG